ACAAAAATAATGCCATGCTAACTGCAGCTTTTTAAAAGCATCTAGTCCTATAGTTCTTTGAATTATCTGACACTGACATGAGAAAAAAAAAAACAAAGTTCCCAGGGATTCTGGACCACCTTTAACCTACAATAGAATTTCATTGGTTTAGCACCCTGTTTGGAGTGACCCCACAGGAAGGCCTGTTTATAGTGAAATAACTTACACAACAGAGACTGAAAACAGGCAAATAAACAGAACTCTTACATCTTATAGAAAGGACAAAACAGTATGCCAAAAAGGAGTTTACCTAGAACCATGCTTTGGTATCTGTATGTCCAGTAACAGCAACCAGAAAGTTAAAGAGTTGTAAGAGCATGAAAATAAAGCCAGCTTCTTAGTCTAACACTGCCTTAAACTAATATCAAAGCCAAGACCAAACATTTACATGGTCTTTCTCTTTCCTAGACAGAAATTGCCCAGGAGATATTCACCACAAAGTAAGGAAAGGGCTCTACAATTTGTAATTTCTATTCTCATGTAACAGACTCTTCTGTTCACATATGGGTTACCTTCAGCTCCCCTCATTTCCAAGTCAGAGTACTACAGAGATCCAACGAGAGACAAATATTGATGCAGCTTCGATATAAACCTGATCTTCCAGGCAAATCTATTCAAAATACAAAAACTGAGAAACAGTGCAGTATGAAGATTTATGGTTTTAGAAAGCCTAGATAATCCAAGATGAAACTGAAGAATGCCCCTAAAATAAATCATGCCCACACACATATAACTATACAGAAACCCATACCACCAATTAAGTAATATAAAATAGGAGAAGAAAGCAATAAATACTTACAGAAGACATATTTGACAGTGAAAAGATTACTTAAGGCACAAAAACATTGTCCATAAGGGAAAAGACTCAGAAATTCTACCGTATCAAAAAGGAGAACGTTTATAAAGCATAATATTATAAACAATATTTAAAGAAAAGCCATTTTTCTCAGTTTGAAACACAACAGTCATAAAGAGTTATTATCCAGAATATATGACGACCTCCTAAAAGTATAATGGACTCCGTGTTGCGCAGCATCACTGAGCGATGCACACAAGAGTACTTCAGTTGTCTTAGGGTTCAAGTAGGTCACTGATATTTTAGATGTTTTCTATTTTATAGAAATTCTTGGTAGGTTATTATGTAGATATTCAAGAGTGTTTCATGGCTTGGGAAAAAAATGTTTGGAGTTTTGGATGAGCTAGGAACATGTGATTTTTCCCGTTTTTGAATAATATGTAGACTCTGCTACCTGAAAGTTCACACTGTAACACATTTTTAGGAACAAACTGGATCCCAATATTCAGGACTGTCTATGTTGTTTTGTGTGGGGTTTTTTTTTTGATTGTTTGTTTTTAAGATTTTATTTATTTGAGAAAGAGCATGCATGAGTACATGAGCAGGGAGCCCAACATGGGGCTCCATCCCAGGACCCAGGACCCCAGGATCATAACCTGCACTAAAGTCAGACACTTAAACTGAGCCACCAGGCACCCCTTGAAGTGCACTCCACAGCCTCTTCCCCAGATTCATGCACAACTGAAAACATCTTGGGTGGTGTGTGCATGACAATTTATTATAGTGGGTTTTTATTCAGACAGTTAAATCTCATAAACATTTCTGCAAGTCATCATAAGCAAATAGCCTTCAAACACTGGGGCATACTGGTAATATATAGATATGGTAAAAATAGTAAAAGCATTAACGTACAGAAAGACAATTTCAGAATAGTGGTATCTCTGGGGAAGGAGTGAGAGAAAAAGTATCAAGAAGGGAAACAAAAGCTAGTTTTAGCTATCTTTTTCTTTTTAAAGAGTGAGATAAATGGGGTGAGATATTAACATTAAAATATGGGATCACAGGTACATTTTTTCTGTATTTTTTCATAAAATCTGAAGGACCAATAACATTTTTAACCTGACTCATGCCAGAGGCCTCCTAACATTAAGCAGCCCACAGATTCACAAGAATCTGAATTCGATACTAAGCAAGAATCTGAACTTGATTTTAGGACAAGAGAACCAGTGTGTCTGCTTTTTCCTGTCACCCTGACATCCTTCACAAGGTAAGTCTACCTCCTGTCAGAACTGCCACCCTTCCCACCTCTATCCTCAACCACTTGCTCACCCACAATCCCTCTACCTGTCCTATTATGCTCAGATCACAGTGGTCTTGCTGTTCCTGAACACACAGTGGCCTCCATCTCTAGGCCTTTTATAAACCCTGGATTTTCAGGGCCAAATCTTCACCTTCTTCAAATTCTTGCTAAAATCTTACCTCTCAATGACCGCCTTATTTAAAATTGTAAAGTGGGTCCCCAGAACCTCTGATTACCCACCTTCTCTACTTCCCTTTTTCCTTAAGTACTTCTCATTTTCTAGCACACTGTTTAATTAACTTGCTTCACTAGAAACCCCATTATGCAAAAACGTTGGGGTGTTTCATTCTTGATGAATCACGAGTGCCTAGCACAGAGCAGGCAAATATTTGGTAAAATGACTAATTTCGATTTTTCTATGTTATAGTACTCTCTGGGATTAATACAGCAAGCCACTATCCTCGATCCTCTACATCTCCAATACTCCCCAAAGTATATACTTCTCAAATGATCTGCTTGTCTACCCATTTCCTGTGGATTCAGATTCACAGAGTCTAATAGAGGGAGATACTTGATATTTGTGGAATGAATGAAATTTAATGTCTTGAATGTTAAAGATTAAGTTTCAGTGAGGGCAGGCTGCTTCTACTATAAACTCAGACTCAAGTAATTGCAGATACCTCTTTGTAAAGGTCACCTTAAGGCATAGTCAAAGGGCTGCTGCTTAATTTACACTTTCTTTCTACTACACAGGCAATAAAAAGATGCATTCAATTATGCCATAAAAATAAGCATTACCTTACACGCTCAAATCTGAAAGAAATCAGGTCAAATTTAATTAAGATCAGGTAGGCGGATTTAAGAAAGATGGTACTTATCGTTACCTTTTTATTATCCTCTATTTTGGAATAGAAGCAGTGTAGCCAAAAGAAGTTTGCCCATACTAATTAAAAGTTTCAGAGAGCAATTTTGAAAATACATAAAAGCTGGTAGTAGCAAGTTGTAAAAATGGCCACAAATTCTTGGACCCATTCCCATTTGAAGTGGAGTCTGATTTCCCATGCCCTGCAATATGGACTGGCCTTAGCGCCCTGCTTGTTAACAACAAATTGGAAAAGGTCATGGGGTTACAGCAGGTTTTTTGGGAACACTTGCTCTGAAGCATTCCCTCTGGATCACCAGTCGCTGTTCTATGAGGAGCCCATTCCTCACAGGGAGGACATGTGAAAGTGCTCTGGTCAAGAGCCTCAGCTGAGCCCCACTGTTCAAGTCACTTAGGCCCAAGTGACCTGGGATGGAAGAAGCCTCCAGATGATCCCAGCCCCCAGCCATCTGAGTCTTCCCCAGCAGCTTGGGTCTTCAACCTCAAGCCCCGGATCCTACAGAGCAAAGACAAGCTATCCCTGCTGTGCCCTGACCGAATTCCTGACCTATAGAATCTGTGAGCATAATAAGATGGCTGTTGTCTCACATCACTAAGCTTAGGGGGTGGTCAGAGAGGCAATAAATAAACTGGAAAATGAGTGCTAACCTAAAGCCTGTAACTAATTACCACATTTCATTTTATCATCACCAGCAGAGCCTAGATTTCATTCCTTAGTACAGATAAGTCATTTATGCAGAGGTCACACATCACACAGATTCATGCTCTACAACAGGGCAAAGAAATCATCCAAAACGAACTCTGATAGCTGTTAGCTATTCATTTTAGTCACCTACATATGCTGAATCAATAGGGTTGACGCACCTCGATGAAATAACTAGATAATTGCTAGCTATATAAATATATATCTCAAATCAAAACACACTATTTCTAATAACACCATAAGGGAAAGAGAGAAGATAATGTAGTTACTGTAAACAGGGGGTTACTCTCAAGGCTCCATGCTGTGTGTTCACAACACGAATGAAATATTTTCTTCCCTATGGAATCAATTCATGAAACTAAAAATGATCAACACTTTGAAAATCCAAAAATCTCTCTCTACAGATAATAAGGAATATACTGCACATTAGAAAAAAAAATATTAAGGTAAAATTCTGATTTAAGAAAACTGGCTTACATCAATCAAAATCAAATATACTACTTCCTTCCTGTTTTTCAATGCAAATCAAATCAATCTTACCACAAAAATATATAAATGAAGAGTTATCTGCTCAATTTTATATCTGCTAATATAAAATTCATTTTAGAAGCACTTAAAAAGCAACAAGTAAAATTAATGGATGTCTCATATTCACAATGGAAATATTTCTAGAAGTGAAAAAACAAAATTCCCAATTGTTCTACCTTTTCTGCAATCAACACTGCCCTCTAGTGATGCAGAAGAAAAGTAAAATAGAAACCAAGTATATGTTCATTTCAGTGTGTCAAGTTTAGACTAATTATTTCACCAAAGACAGAATAAACAAATTCAGGATGACTTTTATTACCTATTGTTAAACTAGAAACTCTTTTAAAAGGCACTAAGTCAAGGAAACTAATATATGCAAAGAGTGGCTTTTAAATACAATGGGAATGAAACATCTCAACACACAGTAAGTTACATCCTCATATAAAATTGTGCAATTTAAGAAAGACCCTGCAGCTTATCACCTAAGACTTATGAAGACTGGTAGGATAATAAGATTAAAGCGTCACCATCTGTAAACAAGAAAACTCAACAGGAAGCAAGCCAGGCTAGTTCTCACAGCTTTTGTGTACCGAATACGCTGAAAAGCTGTCCTTAGCAACCAAGGCCTCACCACCTGCTAGCCCTGCCCAGCAGTAGACTCCTCATTTTAGGAAACTAGTTCAAGAAAAAGAGTTCATTTGGCTAAATATTTACTGAGCATTGGAAATTTTCCAAGAAAACAAAGACTTACCAAGGGTGGTGCCATCCTGCCCCATGATACACTTCATCGAGGTGACAATCTGTTCCACAACAGGTGCGGACAGTGACGTGGCATATACTGCGCTATGAGAATGTGTTCGCAGATAGTCTATCAGCTCCTGGGAAGTTCACAGAAGCAAGTCATTAGAGGTAAAACTTGAACTCTCTGCAGTTTCACTGCCTTCCTTCCAGAAGAAAGCAGCCTCTTCCTCCCTTCAACAGCACTGGAACAGGGACATTACTCTGAGATGCAAGGTCACATGCTCAAAGTATACTATCAGCAACAACTAGGTCCAACACAGGGCAACATCCTCAAGCTTCATCTGGTTATTTAAACATGCCATGACATGAAAGAAAGAAAAACTAGTCTTAAAGAAGACCTCTAGCGATGCCTGGGTGGCTCAGCGATTTAGTGCCTGCCTTTAGCTCAGGGCATGCTCCTGAAGTCCCAGGATCGAGTTCCACACATCGGGCTCCCTGCATGGAGCCTGCTTCTCACTCTGCCAATGTCTCTGCCCCTCTGTGTGTCTCTCATGAATAAATAAAATCTTTAAAAGAAAAAAAAATGAAGACCTCTAAATTTGGAGAGCCTATCACTTAATGTTATAAACAGATCTACAGGGCAGCCCTAGTTGTGCAGCGATTTAGCGCCGCCTGCAGCCCAGGGCGTGATCCTGGAGACCCAGGATCGAGTCCCACATCAGGCTCCCTGCATGGAGCCTGCTTCTCCCTCTGCCTGTGTCTCTGCCTCTGACTCTCTCTCTCTCTCTCTCTCTCTCTCTCTCTCTGTGTGTGTGTGTCTCCATGAATAAAAAAATAAAATAAAATAAAAAATAAACAGATCTACAATGCTGAATTAAAGTGTTTGGATTGCCTTTTTTTAAAAAAAATATCCTCCAGATACACAGAGATTCATAAAATGTTATAAATATGGCAGAAATTAAATAGAAGAAATTCACTGGGTCTTTCATGAGAACAAGAAAGTCATCCACTGAATAAAAAAACTCCGTCAGTTACAAGGAGTTCAAAACAATCAATTGTATATCCCTATTCTTTCCTTTTTAACTTCACTAAATCTTCAAATAAAATGTGCAAAGTAGGTTATGTATCAGGACCCAACAAGGAAACACAAAATATGACTATACAACAGTGTATCACTTCAAAAATACTAAAAACTGTACAAAGGCCATAAAGCCAAAGATATACCACACCTAAATGATTTCCCAGAGTATTCTGTTAAGTCCTTTGACTTTGTAATAAATCTTACCAAAAAGCAATCAACTCTCCAAAGTGAGCCTGGTCCCATTAACAAAAATTTGAGGTAAAAATCTATCAAACTTGACTAAAAACACTAATGAGTTTTCTCTAAAAGGCAATCAATTATTAAGAGAAAGTCCAGGCTTTAAGCCTCCCAATGTCAAGTTTTAAAAAGGAATAAAAGATGTTTATAAGCTCCTAATACATGCTGCATACAAATACTCGACAATGTGCTTTTCTTAGTATTATGGAGAGGTTTTTTTTACAATAAGTTTTATTGAAATGTAATTCACTTTTCCAAAGCATACAGTTCAGTGGCTTTTAGTATATTCACAGAGCTGTGTGATTTTCATCACTGATTTTTAAAATTAATTAATTATTTTTAAGTAGGCTCCAGACCCTGTTGAATTTTCTTGTCTATAGATGGTACTTGAATTCATGACCCCAGGATCAAGAGTTGTATGCTCTACCGACTGAGCCAGCCAGAAGCCCCAGTCTAATTTTAGAACATTTCATTATCTCAGAAAGGAACCTCATATCTATTGGCAGTCACCTTCCACTCCCCCCATGCCCTCAGCCCTTGGCAACCACTAACCTACATCCTATCCTGATTTGTCTGTTATGAATATAACACAAAAGAAATAATACGTGACCTTTTATGACTGACTTCTTTAACATAATGCTTTCTAGTTCATCCAGGCTGTAGCACAAACATACACTATTTTTTCAACCCTTACTACAATTTTTTAAGCCAGGCATATTTATCTCTGTTTTACTGATAAGGAAATGGGAAGGTTAAATGCTTTGCTGCAGGGCTTACAAAGTTAGGGAGATATTCAAACCTAGGTCTCCTTCTCATGGTTCAACCATTTCCAACACGTTGATTCTCAAATGCCTTATAATTCATTACATAATTTTTAAATTCAAAAATACAATGCCTTATAATAAACCAGAGCAGGCAAAGCAATTTTTCTTCCTGTCATTACACTCACCCAAGATGCATTTGAGGCCATGGGCAGGGAAACTGGTCCTCTATTCCCACTGGCTCTCATTATAAACTCACTACTTTTGAAATTGTGGGCACAACTCAAACCCAGTAGAAGACTGTGGCAAACAGGCAGCACCACTGTGCATCCTTTCATACAAGAGGGTGTTCTGTATCTCAGACCAGCATGTAGTTGAGAACGAAGCTCAAATAAGAAAACAACAAACAATGAACAGAACCAGCCTTTCGTTCATCAGAGTCACTCACTGAGCAGCTGAAGTATGAAGCCTGCTGGTGCTCTGAGCCTAAGCCACAAACAAATTAAGGATCTCCACATCCCAGTTCAGGACTCTTATCTGCTACACGTGAGTTACCAAATCGGGTAGCAAGAGCCTCTACCCTAAACTGCTCAATTTGCATGGCCCATTTACCTTCTTGCCTCCAATGTATCCTCCAGAAGCACCAAAGCTCTTTGTGAATGTTCCCATCATAACGTCCACATCCTCAGGATCCAGGCCAAAGTAATCTACCACACCTCGACCTGAAGGGCCCAGAGCCCCAATGCTGTGAGCTTCATCGAGATACAAGTATGCTTTGTATTTCTTCTTAAGAGCAATCACTTCAGGAAGGCGAACAATAGATCCCTCCATGCTGGCAAAACAGAAAAAAACAAATACACTGAGACTTTTCAACTCTCAAAATTAGGAGTTGGCCACCTTACTGTTACTATTAATTTTTTTTTCAGTTTATTGCTTTTAAAAAATGGCTTGACAACTCTGCCTGTGATTTTAAACTGACAAAGTCAGATGATGCCGTGGCTAGCTAGATGTCTAGGGGAAAGGAAATGGGATCTTTTCAAATAAGTACCAGAACAGAATTAATCTTACTTCACCACAGATGGATAAAGGTCATAGCAGATTCTTCTAACACTTGTAGTTACAGGCTACGTTAGATTTTGCATTACACTGCATATATAATTTAAAAAACAGAATAAAAGAATAAAGAAGACAGGAGGTAAGAGAGTAAGTGCAAGAACCCAAATAAATCAGAATAAAATCTTTCTTAAAATGAAATTATGTATAATTTGTTTTGACACATTAGGAAACATATTCTACTTTTTGCCCCTATATATACATTCCTTCTACAAACAGTAGAAAAATAGGGGATGCAAAAACAAAGGGTATTTGAAGACCATTAGCACAATGGAAAGAAAAAGAAAAGCCAGATAAAAAGACTTCTATCCTAGTGCTAACTCTGCTTTTAGGTATTTTAACAAGTCATAAACACTGTCTCCTTAGTTTCCAGAGGGGTCCAGATTACTGTTCTCTTCTGCTTAAAAATTCTAAAACTTCACGAAGCCACATCAGAAAGATAAGAATAAGAAAGCAGGATTACCTATAGATTCCTTCCACAAGGATTAGAATTTTCTTCCAGGGCCTTCGTGTCCGAGGCTGACCATAAACAATGGCATCTTTCAACAGCTTCTCTAGGCTTTGCATATCTGTACCACACAAAAAAGAATTTCAGCACGAAGTACCTTCCTCTTTCTGACCTTTATTTCAGAAATGCAAATATACATTACTTATTCAGGGAGTGTCTCTCAGATAGTAAAAGACATTAACATAATCAGAACTGAGCAGAAAAAGATAAGGCAAAATGGGTGAGCTACTGCTAACTTGAATTGAATGACTATCTCCTCTAAAATGTAATGAATGTTCAAAACCACAGAAACTCCACTAAATGACTGTGGCACAGGTGATTCCATTCATTAGCATCCTTGTGAAATGACTGATGTTTCATGTTAAATACCCTGGCCTTTCAGTTAGCGTTTTCTTTCTTTCTTTTTTTTTTAAATAGAATCAACTGTATCTTTAATCCTAGTGAGTCATTCAGAAATACATGCATAAAGAAGGCTGAGAAAGAGAGTACAAATAAACTACAACAAATATATACACCTCCTAAAAAGCAAATATGGGGGAAAATTTAAAGTGCATGCATCGTTCCCTTTCACCTAGGATACACTCAATAAACACCTGCTAAATAACTTTATCTTAGTAGCTCAAGGTACACCAGTTTGGGCATACATCAGACTATGTGATAAGAAAGCTTGGCAATCAGTTCAAACTGTCTCATGTTGGACTTGATCAGCTGCCTGTACATAATCAAGCTCTCGTGGCTCTTTTGGTCCTTAACGATGGTTAACAGGCCCAAAAGCAAGTTGGCTGGTACTACCATTAATGAGGATAATTTGCCTGGTTTTTTTTTTTAATTTTTTTTTTTATTTATTTTATGATAGTCACCGAGAGAGAGAGAGAAAGAGAGGCAGAGACACAGGCAGAGGGAGAAGCAGGCTCCATGCACCGGGAGCCCGACGCGGGACTCGATCCGGGGTCTCCAGAATCGCGCCCTGGGCCAAAGGCAGGCGCCAAACCGCTGCGCCACCCAGGGATCCCGATAATTTGCCTGTTAAAGACAAATGCTTTGAAGACCACTGTTACCACAACAGACTTTATACTTAAAATACCTGCCCTGAAATAATAGCCTTAAGAAACTTCCCCCCAGAATCTATGCAATATTAAGTCTGGGGAACATTTAACAGGGGTGGGAGGCATCCTATCATAAGATGTGATTTTATATTCTTTATTGCTCAGGACTGAAGGAGGGGGTTACAAAGATACACGATTTTGCTCTTTCCATGAAAGGATTTTGGTTAGGAAAGAGAAGGTAATAAAAACACATACCACAAATAAGATGGCAAAGGTTGTGACTGTTTATATCTTCAGTTACTCATAACAAAACAATCTGCTACTTAACCCACTGTTTATATCTTCAGTTATTCATAACAAAACAATCTGCTACCTAACCCAATCTGCCAACACAGAAGTATGTATGTCTGTTGTGAAGCTGCTACTTCTGCTGCAGAGACCAATGTGTGGCGATCACCAGGAGACAAATAAAAATGCACTCATTGTTTTAGTTTCCTCTGTTTACATACAGAAAGGAAGAGAAAGATATTGACTCAAAAATTTTAGATGAAAGGAAGTACCTATAGTGGAATGCCTGACCGTATCACCTCCTTAAGAAAAAAAAATTCAATTATATCTCTCACATTATGCTCCCTAGATCCCAAGGAAATTAAAGATTTAAATAAAAAATATACCACAAAATCATAAAAAGAAAATACAAAAGAATAACTTTATGATCTTAGAAGGGGAAAGGCATTATGCAAATCTAAAATTCATAAGACAATAAATGTACCAAATTCAACATTTTAATAAGTCTAAAGCAAGACACTAAAAAAGTTAAAAATGAAATTAAAAATATTGCAACAGGGCAGCCCCGGTGGCGCAGTGGTTTGGTGCCGCCTGCAGCTGGGGTGTGATCCTGGAGACCCGGGATCCAGTCCCGCATCGGGCTTCCTGCCTGGGGCCTGCTTCTCCCTCTGCCTGTGTCTCTGCCTCTCTCTCGCTCTCTCGGAATGAATAAATAAATAAATCTTTAAAAAAAAATTAAAAAAAAATTTGCAACATACAAAAAAGAATATAAAGGGCTCTTATACTCAGTGAAAAACAGTTTGAAAATGGCCAATTCACAAAGAAATACAAACATGATTAACTGTATAAAGAAGTTGCTTGGGACACCTGGGTAGCTCAGCGGTTGAGTGTCTGCCTTTGGCTCAGGGCGTGATCCCGCAATCCGGGATCGAGTCCCACATCGGGCTCCTTGCATGGAGCCTGCTTCTCCCTCTGCCTATGTCTCTGCCTCTCTCTCATTGTCTCTCATGAATAAATAAATAAAATCTTTAAAAAAAAAATAAGAAGTTGCTTAACACCTAATAATCAAAGAAACAGAAATTAACCTGTTATTGACTTATTAGATTGGAAAGTATCTTAAATGATTCCTAATGCCCTATGTTGGCCTGTGAGTGGTCACCATCATGTTGTTGAGTAAAAATTTGTACCATACTTGGAGGCAATTTGAAAAAGTATAACACTTTTTATAACCTTTTAACCAGGCATCCTAAGCCTGCTAGGAATTTATCCTAAGGCACGAATCAGACCACTGAGCAAAAATGTGAGTGTAGGTAGTACTGTTTCTAGTAGAAACATTTAGAAACAACCCTATTGTCCAAACTGAGGGATGGATTGGGAAGGGCAACTGCAGATGCTGCCTGCCACCCTGGCATTAGGGGAGGAGAGTCACATGTACTGTCAAACAAAGTTCACAATGTGTTGTAAGGAAATAGGTTACACAACTGTGATTAATAATGCCATGTACTTTATAAAACAAAATACTATCATTCTCATTATAAAACATTTTAGACAAGACAAAGACAGAAGGAAGAGAGTTATTATCATCCGTAAACTTCGATCCAGAGTACAGATCTAACATTTGGGTGTTTATTCCTCCAGACTTTTGTCTGTACGTGTACACATTGTGGCAAAAAATGACATTAGATGTGCAGTTTTATAGTCTTTCCTTCCTATATGTGAGTATTTTAACTACAAAAGTTACTCTTTTTATTGTAAATATTTTAATAATACACAAGATACTTCTACTTAGGGAGAAAGTTCTGGCAGTGCGACCTTCCTCTGTGCCTTTGCAGCATTTGTTCATATGTGTATTCTAGTACCTGTTCCGTATCAGTAGTGTTCCACTACTGGTTTGTCTATAGTCTTTTCATTAGCCAGTCAGAGATCCTTAAGATGAGACCCTGCTTTATTCATCCCAATAGCCCTGGTGTTATGGCAAATTACACCACAGGCATCTAGTAAATACATATTGAATAAATAGCTTGTAAACAAGGAGGATGAAAAAGTTGAAAGCTAAATAAAAGGAGAGTGTTGTATTCTGTACCAAAAGGCTTCCTTTAGCCTCTATTTCTAATGACGAAGAGAATAATTTTTTTTAAATAAATTAATTTTTATTGGTGTTCAATTTACCAACATACAGAATAACACCCAGTGCTCATCCCGTCAAGTGTCCCCCTCCGTGCCCGTCACCCATTCACCCTACCCCCCGCCCTCCTCCCCTTCCACCACCCCTAGTTCATTTCCCAGAGTTAGAAGTCTTTATGTTCTGTCTCCCTTTCTGATATCTCCCACACATTTCTTCTCCCTTCCCATATATTCCCCTTCACTATTATTCATATTCCCCAAATGAATGAGAACATACAGAGAATAATTTTTTTTTAGGAGAGAATAATTTTTAAAAGATTGGACCAGAAGGACATTTTAAATGTTGTACATGCTTTTTTATAGCTTTATTAATGTAACTAATTAACTACTGCCATTAATCCAAAAAATATTAAACATTAAGGCTGTAATGAATTCCAAATCAAACTCACTGTTGTGTTTGAAGATTCGAATGGTTGCTCCTGAGAGTCTGGCTCCTAGAACCAGCGATGCATGGTTCAGTTCATCACTCAGAATCAGGCAACCCTGCAAAATCACAAGCATAGGAAAATAAGAAGTTAGGTGGAAAGGTTTAGTTACACAAATTACAAAATGCTAAAATAATAATGCTATCTTATTAAGGAAAGCTTACACAACAACAAAATTATCAATTTCAAGAAGAAAATAATGCACATTTTTGCTTCGCAAAATTAACTTAGAAGTCAATACAAAACTCTCACCTTTTAATTTCTTCAGTTCTGTGACTGACTTAAATATTCAGATATACAGCAACAGGCTTTTATTTACATCTAAAATCTGCTATATGAGACAGTCTTCATAGGGTTTCAATTTCACTGGTCTGATGGCATGCTGTATGAGTTTTAGTATGATGTCCTTTATTATTTGTGGGGAAAAGTGGGGGACAAGGGAGCTGAGGGAGTAAAGCCTGTGGAGACAATGCATCCTTCCTCTCACTCCTAATCATAGCCTGAGTTCAATGAGGGTTCCACTTACCAATGTTTTCCTCACTGACTGAAGTGTAGGCCTCAGTTTTGCCTTCAAAATCTCTCCATAAGCTCTACTTTAACATGTAAACATGAGTTTCTACTAAGGCAACAAGAAAAGGCTGAGGTTCTCAGGGACTTTATTCCTTCTCACATTCTTACTCTTCAACCTGTAAGATCTGAGCTCAGAAACAGGTTTTTCTGTCAACAGTGGCCTCAAAATATCCCATTATGACTTTAAGAGCAAGGTGCAGAAAGTATTAGCATGTTCCCAGGAGAACAAGAGAGAAGACACATATACACACACACCGATTTATAACAGAATATTCTTAGAGGGATACTTAAGAAACTTGTATAGCAGATGTCTGCAATTTTTACTGTGTGCAAGTTATTATAAGGATAAAAAGCTACCTAGTTACAAACACATACATTTAAAAAGGAAAAGTAGAGTTGCAGATTTACCAATATGGGCTGATGGGTTTTTTTTTTTTTGGGGGGGGGTTAATTTATATGTAATGTGTATACATGCACACAGACGTGCGTATGCATCAGTCAATACACGTGCATCTATTTTTCTAGTTCTATGCACTGAGGGACAAGAAGTAGTGACACCCAACTAGCCATAAACACAACAGACCTTGATTTCTAAATACCATCCTCCAGTAAAAGGAACCAGGGCTCAATGGTGAATTCATGGACCCCAAGGCTAAAATAGGTTTGGAAGAAATTTAAAAATTTAAAAAGCCCAGAGCCTCTTATTCTACAAAGTAAGAAAAGTGCTCCTTAGAGGGGGGGAAAAAAAGCACAAGCACATATTCAAATGGCACAGGAGCCCTCCTGAGAGATCTCCTAACGGCCAAAACTGGAACAAAAATAATATTTTGAGCAATTATGTTGGATTCAAATAATAAAATATTCACAAATCTAGACCACTGTAAATGAATAAGGGAGAAGCAATAACTCTTCAGAAGAGTCATGGTAATGAAAGACAAGGAAAGACAGGAATTGTCACACACTGGAGAGTAAGGAGATATCATGCAGATATTCTATAGAAAATCTGGTAAAGTTGAAATGAGTTCTGTACTTTAGTAATTAGCATTGTATCAAGGTTAATCTCTTGGGTTTGGTAAATTTCACTGGTATGAAAGATACTAATATAAAAGGAAGCTGAGTGAAGGGTACACAGGAACCCTGTATTCTTTTACAACTCTTCTGTAGCTTTAAATTAATCTTTGAAAAAAAGTGTGAAAATTTTTTTAAAAATAAGAGACACTAGGGAAGAAAATGATGAGATACTGAATTTCTCTTCTGCAAGTCTTCAAACCCTTTACTTACCATTCTTGGCATCCCGCTATACCTTAAAAGGATCCCACTCCTTTCCATTCTATACAATTTTATCTTCTTCTCTTTCTAGTTAATTTTTTTTCCTGACAAAATCTGCAACATAACTTGCTATTTACTAGCCTTATTCACCATTTCTATGTATCAATCTACTATGAGGCTCTATCATACCCTTAGTTCAAAAATAAAATAAAACTTACATATTAGCATTTAAGAGCTAAGTGCTTAATATGTTCCGGGCATTCATTATGTTAAGGGTTTTAAAGACATTATGACTTCTAATCCCCATTAAAAAAATCTAAGAGGCAGGTACTATTATTATCCCCACTTTACATATGAGGAAACTCCCTTTCAGGAGTTACAAATCTTGCCCAAGGTCACAAACTTAGTGACTCATTACGAAGGTTCTGCTTCCAGAACACATGCTCTTAATCTGTAATATACTATCTCCCCCGCCTTCAAGCTGCATAATCAACCACCTCACATAGAAAATTTAGTATCAGATTCAAAGAAATATTAAAACTGGATTAGTTCCTGCCTTTAATGGATTGAATGATACTTAATAACATTCAACCATAATGTTTGATTTGAAAGATAAATCTTTAAGGTAGTATCTTCCAACTCTGTATATAAAATCTCTAATTCTACATAATTAGTTTCTGAACATACAGGGAAGAGCAGGATGAGATAATTTAATCCCCTAGTGTGAAAAACTCAGAGAAATTCCAAATAAGAATCTCAAGATTTATACTGCTAAAATGTAGACAGGAATGTATTATAACCAATATGAGGTCGAAGAACCATACATTTCTGTGTCAAGGGATCTGCCCATTGTTAGATATCTAAGTTGATCTAAGGATCACTACACATCCTTTTAATGTCTGCAGGATGTGTAGTGATGTACCCTTGTTCATTCCTGCTATTGGTGTCTTTTTATCCTCACCAGTCTGACTAGAGATTTATCAATTTTATTCATTTCCTCAAAGAATCACCTTTGGTTTCACTCATTTTTCCTCATTTCTGATTCGTTATCTCTGAATTTATCTTTATCTTATCCTTCCTCTGTTTGGAATTTTTGGGTTTAATTTGCTCTTCCTTTTTGAAGTTCTTGTTTAGATGACTGATTCAAAACTTTTCCTTTTTTTAATACAAGCCTTAAAGCTATAAATTCCATCTGAGTACTGCACTAGCTTCATCTCACAAACTGTAATACACTACATTTCCATTTAGCTCAAAGTATTTTCTATTTTTCCTTTCTTCTTTATTTATGTGTTATTTGGAAGTATGCTAATTTTCAAATATTTGAGGATTTGCCAGATATCTTTGTGTTACTGATTTATGATTTAACTCCATAATTCATCAGAGAACATACTTTGAATTCATTTAAATTTTTAAGAATTTGTCAAGGTTCATTTAATGGCCCAGAAAATGGTTTATCTTGGTAAATGTTTTGCTGTTGTTGGGTGAAGTGTTTCATAAATGTCAATTAGGTCCAGTTTGTTGATAATGTTTTTCAAATGTTCTATAACTTACTACTGATTTTCTGTCTAGTTCTTCTCTCAATTATTGAAAGAGGGGAATGGAGATCTCTAATAACAATTATGTATTTGTCTATTTCTCCTTTCAATCTCATCAATTTTTCCTTCATGTATTTCGAAGCTCTATTACTAGAGCTATACTAGAGATCAATGTACCTATACATTTAAATTGTTATATATCTTTTTGGGGTCCCTGGGTGGCTCATTTGGTTAAGTGTCCAACTCTTGATTTCAGCTTAGGTCCGGTCTCAGGGTCGTGGGATGGAGCCCCACATTGGGCTCTGGGCTCAGTGCAGAGTCTGCTTGGGATTCTCTCTCTCCTTGATCACATGTGCTCTTTTTTTCTCTCTCAAATACATAAATAAAATCTTAAAAGGGGGGGCACCTGGGTGGCTCAGTCAGGCACTGGACTCTTGATTTCAGCTCAGGTCATGATCTCAGAGTTGTGAGATCAAGTCCCACGTTGGGCTCCCCACTCAGTGGAGAGTCTGCTCAAGATTCTGTCTGCCTCTACCCAACCCCCACCCTGCTCACTCATGCTCTTTCTCAAATACATAGATCTAATGAATAAATAGAACAAGATAAAATTGTTATGTCTTTTTAATTAATTAACTGCTTTTATCATTATACAATGTTCCTCTTTACCCACAGAAATAACAGCTTGCGGGATGGGATGCCTGGGTGGCTCAGTGGTTGAGCATCTGCCTTTGGCTCAGGGCGTGATTCCAGGGTCCTGGGATCAAGTCCTGCAATGGGCTCCGCACAGGGAGCCTGCTTCTCCCTCTGCCTATGTCTCTGCCTCTCTCTGTGTCTCTCATGAATAAATAAATAAAATCTTTAAAAAAAATTTTTTTTAAATATTCCTTGCTCTGAAATCTTTGTTCATATTAATATAGTCACTTCAACTTTCTTTTTGATTGTTTGCATGCTGTATCTTCTTCCACCCTTTTATTTTTACCTGTGTCTTTTTTTTTTTTTTTAGACTAGTCAAGTGCAGTAGTGAGAAGGGGGGAAAAAGTAGAACAAGGAGTTCGATCTGTAACTGACTGTGAACAATCAATTGAGATAACTCACTACGGACAAGCCTACCTGTGTCTTTAAAGTAGGTTTCTCGGGCAGCCCCGGTGGCGCAGCGGTTTAGCACTGCCTGCAGCCCAGGGCATGATCCTGGAGACCCTGGATCGGGTCCCACATCGGGCTCTCTGCATGGGGCCTGCTTCTCCCTCTGCCTGTGTCTCTGCCTCTCATTCTCTCTCTGTGTTTCTATGAATAAATAAAATCTTAAAAAAAATAAAAATAAAGTAGGTTTCTCGCAGAAATCTGCTTACTTTTATTGAATCTGACAACATGTTTTCTAATTAGAATGTATAAGCCATTTACATTTAATATGGTATCAATATAATTGGGCTTAAATCTCTTCTCTTGTTGTTTTCTATTTATCCCATCTGTTCCTCGAAACTGTGTTTATATAATTGAGAAGGTCTTTACAGTTAGCCTCGTCCAAATACTTCATTTTACAAAGGAAAATTTGAGGCTTAGAAAGGCTGGCCGGGCTGGTTCAGTTGGAAGAGCATGCAGTTCTTGATTTTGGGGTTATGAGTCTGAGCCCCACATTGGGTGCAGAGCTCACTTAAATAAAACTTAAAAGAAAGACTGTGACATGCTCATAGTCATACAGCTAAATTTGAACATATAAAAAGAAATAAATTTAAACATATAACCAACCAAACAAAAACCCAAGTCTTCTGACTCATTAATCCACTGATTTTTTTTTTCCAGTATGTCATTCCTAGATACCAATATTAAAATGAGAGTAAAAAATCTGGGGGTCCTTTAGGGACACTTGAGTGGCTCAGTTGCTTAAGTGTCCCACTTCTGATTTCAGCTCAGGTCATGATCTCAGGGTTGTGAGATCAAGCCCTCTGTTGTGCATACTCTCTAAAAAAATTAAAAATAAAAAATGAAATAAAAACCTTGAGGGTTGGGATCCCTGGGTGGCGCAGTGGTTTGGCGCCTGCCTTTGGCCCAGGGCGCGATCCTGGAGACCCGGGATCGAATCCCATGTCGGGCTCCCGGTGCATGGAGCCTGCTTCTCCCTCTGCCTGTGTCTCTCTGCCTCTCTCTCTCTCATTGTGTGCCTATCATAAATAAATAAAAATTAAAAAAAAAAAAAAAAAAAAAAAAAAAAAAAAAAACCTTGAGGGCCCCTTCAAGCTGAGAGTGCCAGTCTGCTAGAATCTGATTTACAAAGTCTCTTATTTCTTCTCTCCTTAACTGCCCCCATACAAACTCTACCCACAGGGGCATAAAAATTGCACATACTCATTTTTATTATTGTTGTTGTTATTACTACTACTTTTAACCTTCATTATTATTCATCTATATTATTACTTTTAACCTATATTACCTGTATTTTACATATATACATATCATTTGCCCATATATCTCTAAGCAACAGACATTATGATAAGAATAGGCATTAGGGTACCTATGTATTTTCTTATTTTTCTACCAGGAAAAACCACCTGTTAAATAACCTTCCAAACTAAACATTGTTTCTTTCAAAATTTTTAGCCTTTTATGAGGCTTTAATTAGAATCCCTTTCAAAATTATATGAAATAAAAAAGGCAAGAATCATCTAATGGAAGAGAAAGAATCATGGGTTCTAGCAAGAAAGCTTCAACTGATATAAGTCTCCATGGAATACACTTATCCAAAAATTTGTGATAGAAATATCTTTGGGTAGATCATGTGTAGCCTGAAGTTTACAATAGCCTTTGGCTTGTTCTGAATGCTTTACAAACAAAAGATACATACAACAGAGTTTTCAAAAATGACAGACTAAGTCTTACTTTGCCAACAAGAGCAGGAATGTTCATTGAATTTGTTGCAAATCCCATGCCATATGCCATAGCAGCTTCTACTCCCAAGAAACTTGCAACAAGCTTCTCTAGCTCTTCATGCTTATCCAGGTTTCCTGTGTGGAGAAGTTAATGAAATTAATACCACCAAATCCCAAATTTAAGAATTACTCATTACTTCCTAAAAAGAAATCATAGTCTACATGTGACAACCTTTTCAGAATAAGCTCTGTGGAAGAGCAGTATGAAGAGAAATGGCTGATAAAGGACACAGTAGTTGAATACATTCTGATTTGGCACCTGTGATGGAATTCCTGTACAGAAGATTGCCAACAATTTCTCCCATTCCGGATGACACATGCCAGTTCCAAGTCTAGGATGTAAAGAGGCCTGGCAAGATCTGCTTTTATACTTCTGGAGTCAGTTGCCATGTAAAACGGTCTAACTAGTTGTTGAAAAGAGAGGCTATATAGAGAGGGAGAGGCTCTGGAGGATAAGAGACCATATGGAAGGAGAATGCAGGGCTCAGGTAGCCCTCACCTGATCCCACTACCCAGCTGACATGCCAAACATAGAAGTAAAGCCATCCTGGACATTCTCTTGTCAGCCATAATGCCCCACCCAATAGTATATGGAGTTAAAATAAATGTCAAGCACTTCCCAAACTGCAGAATCACAAGCAAATAAATGTATGTTTCTGTTTTAAGTCACTAAGTTTTGGAATGCTTTGTTATGTAGCAAAAGACAAGTTAAAAAGCATCCTCCCTCACTTTGTATTGTGATCTTCTATCAATACTCAAATCCTTAAAAACTGAACAAGACTGATCAATGATACTAACTAAATGCAAAAGATCAGAAAAAAAGACTGCTGAACTTGGGTGCTACCTGTCCTCAAAGCTTTACACATTTAACCTCTCGGGGCTTTAGTTCCTTATCTGTTGAATACCAATAATAATATTTGCTCTATCTACCTCATATTGTTGTGAGGATCAAAAAAGCGAATAGGTTCAAGAAAGTTATAAAGTGCCATAAAGATGTAAAGTCTGAATACTATATGTTGTCACTGCACATCGCTGCCTTAACCACATCATTATGGATAATGAGTATAAATGACCCCGCTACATTTGCCAGTCTTGAGACTAACAAGAAATAATGAGAAATTATTGTTTTAATCTCCTAAATTTTGGGGTTATTCACAGTAATAAATATCCAGGACATTGCCTTATAACCTCTATAGTTATCAATTCTCTGGAACAAAATGGAAGAATTTGGAATTTTCCTTTGAACAAAATTTAATTCTTTTTATATAAATCTGTTCACCTTTATATTCTATAGACTTGTAATAATAATAATAAATAGCTAACATTTACTGAGTGTTTACCATGACACAAGCACTTTACATGAATTAACTTTTTTAATTCTTCAAACAGCCTTGTATGATAGGAATTATTATCAGCCCTCAATTACTGGTATGGAAACACATTAACCCTCATATGCCCATGGGGTCAGTACTAGTAAGTGGCACCCTTAACCACTATCATTTGTAAATGCCAACAAGGTCAACATTAAAGTTACAAATGAATCAAATATTTATGGAACCCTTCTAGATATATTTTGTAATATAATGGAAAAGATAAATACATCTCAAAATGTGTTGAAAGCATTAACATCATCCATTACTTCAGAAACAATATGGTGAAGTATGTATGTGGATGCTTACTACTCTGGGTCTGTATCAGCATTATTCCCTCCTGAGTAGCACAGTTAAAAATATCAGTTGGCCAAACAGATCCTATGCTTACCGATTTCCTGCCGAGTGCTACACACTCCAACTCCATACTCCTCTAAGACTTTCGCAGCTGCTTCTTGACATGCTCCTGTATTCCGTGCAAATCCAAGATAGTTGTAGGAACCCATGTTTATAACACCTTTAATTACATTCCCTGTGTACCTGTATTTCAAAAGCATAAAAGTTCATGAAACTCATGAGAAAATCAAATACTTACATGTGATAATAAACATAGTAATACAAAAGGAAGCACAATATACAGGAAATAGGAAGAATATGGCTTAGATGAAAAGCAGCTCAAACTCACTACCAATTAAGAAAATGAAAGGCAAAATACTAATTTTCACTTATCAATAATGATAATAATTTAAAAACTGATCATATGCAGTGTTTGCCAGGATAGTCTCACATACTGCACATAAGAATATCAGTTAGTACTTTTTTTTTTGGAGGGCAGTTTGGTAGTAATTCAGCAATTGCCATACACATATGAAAAAATATATGCATAAAGATCCTTTAAGAGTCACTAGACAATGGGGTGCCTGGGTGGCTCAGTCAGTTGAGCATCTGACTCTTTGTTTCAGATCAAATCATGATCTCAGGGTTGTGGGATTAAGCCCCAAGTGGGGTTCTGTGTTCAGCACAGAAATCTGCTTGAGATTCTCTCCTTCTCCCCATGCCCCTCCCCCTGCTCACTCACTCTTTCTAAAATAAAATAAAATCTTTTTTAAAAAGCAAAGAAAAAAGAGAGTCACTACACAATTTATCTTCTACTAAGTCCCTTCCCCAGACCAGTGACATTTCTACATGGTGGGAGCTCAGTCAGCCTGGGCCCACAAGCAAGAACATGGTTCAGAGGCTCCACTAACCTAAGGCAGACACAAAGTGTGGACAAGAAATAAACTGTTGGGATCCCTGGGTGGCGCAGCGGTTTGGCGCCTGCCTTTGGCCCAGGGCGCGATCCTGGAGACCCGGGATCGAATCCCACATCGGGCTCCCGGTGCATGGAGCCTGCTTCTCCCTCTGCCTGTGTCTCTGCCTCTCTCTCTCTCACTGTGTGCCTATCATAAATAAATAAAACAAAAAAAATATTAAAAAAAAAAAAAAAAAAAGAAATAAACTGTTGCTGTTTGAACTCTGAGATTTTTTTTTTTTGAGATTTTGGGGTTTTTAACAAAGAATGATGCAGTCCAACCTGCTAGACACTATCTATGGCTATATTATAGAATACTCAGTATCCAGTACTAATAATGATATTGCTGTGAAAATAGATAAGCAGGATATTACCAATGTGTTAGCAAGTAAAAAAAGATATAAAATGATTTCTATAGTATGATCCTATTCTTATAAATCAAAACCTACCTCTATGTAACCCCAGTAGATTGATTACATGCATACCCCACAGAAAACATCTGGAGGAATCATACACAACAGACAACAATGGTTACTTCTAGGGAGTGAAGGTTTGTGGAGAAGTGGGTTTGCAGAAGGGATAGTGGCTAGTTGTCATGGGAGAACATTTCATTTATCTGTATTATTTGCCTTTTTTTTCTTAATAATAATGCAATGTGTACAATCTAAACAATAAAATTTTATGAATATGAAAAGATTTCCAGAAAACTATTCCATCTATTTAAGTGAAAACATTCTATATATCCTTAAATCATTTGAGAAATCAAAATAGGCAGAAGTAAATTCAGACACTTGATTGTGATAAGTGGCATAACAGAAAGGACAGTTTATCATTGTTTTTTTGTTTTCTAATAAGTCAAATTTTGTATTCAATTATAATCCAACACAGTATCAAATGTAATAGAAAAATGCATTTTAAAAATCTAGATAGCAAAGAACAATATGCAAAGCATATTGCAAGGTAACTAATTATGTTGTACTGTACTCTCAGCTTCTATTCTTATTTTTATAGATTACTCAATCTACAATAGAATATATTCTGAAGTGAAGAAATTCTTTTTCTCTTGCTGTCAAATAATTTCCCAACTGAGACTCACTTGAACGACCAGTTGTAATCATGAGATTGCCTCTCCATGATATCCACCCTGGCTCCAGGCACACTGCAGATTGGTCGATTCCAATTGTCTCTGATCCTCATGTAGAGGTTCCTTGTATAGAAGTTTTCGAAATCCTGATATAACGACACAAAGTCCTGCCAACAAATGGTGAAATACCATGAATTTAACTGAATTAATTTAGAAAATTTTTACAACTTCCCTTTCCATGTTGCAAGAGTGCTTGGGAACCAGAGATCAATTACACTGAATTAACTGATAAGGAAAACATTTGTAAAGGCATCAATTCTCTGTTAAAACAACTTGGGGCAATGGCTGGCTCAATTAGTAGAGTATGCAACTCTTGATCTCAGGGTTGTGAGTTCAAGCCCCATACTGAGCACAGAAATCATAAAAAAAAAAAAAAAAAGGTAAAAGAACTCTTAATCAGGTAAACATCACTTGGCCCTGACAATTAACCTATATGAAATGGTTGTAAATAACTATCTGACTACATGAATATAAAACCAAAGAATTTAGCTTAAAAAGTAGGTCCCATAAAAATAAAACTTAGTTGTACAATTCTGTCCTTTAAATGATTTTCCTTCCCAATAACCTCAAAAGGACTTCTCTTCTGCCTCCCAAGTAATATATTGGGAAATGCCATTAAAAAACACTGTAATTCCAGTTTCAAATAAGAAAATTCTGAAATTAAAATTCCATCCTCTGCATATTTTAAAAGATCAAAGTGAAAAACATCCAGAGAAAAATGATAAACAAGAAATACTAAAAGACAGCTTATATAGAAAGACACCTATCTCAGGTTTCTTTCCTTGGATGGGAGTTAAAAAAAAAAAATTCTTATGATGAATTCTCATGACTAGGGACTTAAAGCCCTCTCTTCTTCTGTGAAATAAGTTACACTAAATTTAAGTCTATAAAAAAGCCTGGGTGGAGCTAAAATGAATGCATAATGTCATGTCCCATGTAATATGACCACTGCTCAGAACACGATCAGACCACATTAGAACAACTCGACTCCTGAAGATAAGGGGTAAACCAAACAAAAAGAAAACTACTATAGTTTTACTATAGTTAGCAAACTGCTAAACTTCTAGCCCTGAGATCTGGACTTATGTTAAATAAGCTAATCAGAAACATTCAAGTTTAAGCCTTATTTTGAAAGACTTTCATTGCTAAATAAGACTTCATAAAATTTTATAATTAATAACCTTCTATGTCATTGGACTCTACTAAATAAGCCTCACAGTAGATAAAATCTTACATCAAGCTGAGCAAAGTCAGAAAGTACTCTTAGGAATGTGCAGCACCTGACACCCTCTTCTCACAACTGATTCTAACATTTACATTTCCTTAAGAGAAAATATCCATAAATAATGTGTCTATCAACTGGAAACTTACTACTTAACTGGTATGTCCTTTTTGATAGTCTCCACTTCTAACAAGAATATCAAATGAATGAAAACTAGAACAAAGACATCTAAATTCTAATTTGGGACTTTTCCTTAGCTACTATTCACCATGCATTTCTTTACCTAAAGGAAAAAAGCAAACAAAAACAAAAACAAAAAAACCCAAAACAGTTGTCGCCAATCCTTTTCTATTAATATCAAATAGGGTAAAGAGTACTAACTCTTCTTAATTTTATTTCTTTATAACTTTTCTAAACACTGCACATTAATATTAAAGGTATTAACTTAAACCCCCAAGAGAAAGGCTCCATCACAAATTTTTAGTAGCAACAAAGAGTATTATTTTTATATACATTATATAAACATCAGAAAACACTTACGAGTCTGGTCCCACCTACCAGAAGTCTTACCAAACCCCAATATCGAAAAAAGGCTGCAGGCTAAAGTTAAGTACAGTTCTGGGGAACCAGTGACCTAGTGGTGTGGCTGGGAAGGGAGAGAGGGGCTCCAGTCTTTGCAACAGAGACTGCCAACATCAGGGAGCTTGCAGCTCAACTCATCAGCTCAGCTCATTGTTACAATGGGAGAACAAGGAAGTTCCTGAGATGGGAACAGACTTGCACAGAGTGATGGAGAAGTTGCCACAGTGAGCAATGTTAGAGATCAAAAAGCAGGTGGGATGGAATGGCAGAAGAGAGGGACTCATGGCCAGGGTACCAGTATGACTGCAGTTAGAAGGTTTGGTGGAGAGAGCTGAAAGGCAGCTATCCAAACTCCCTGCTGCTTATTAGCAATGAAGTAAGAATGGGGATGGAAAGGGATCACTATTCAGGGTTCCAGTTCTATGCAACAAGGGTGAGTGTCTTTTTCCAAAAATATACAGTTTAAATTTTCAAGGACTTAGGGTTATACTAGAGGACTTGTCTCTTCATTTATTTCATTCAAATACTCTTTTCTAAATACTTCTACCAGACCTGGGATATAATGAAGAACACGAGGGTTCTCTCTGCAAACTGTGACACCCCCACTACTGGTACCCTCCCCCTTCCCACCCTGGCCCCCATCCCACTCCACATACCCACCCCACCCCCTTCCTCCTCCACGGTTTAGTCACTGCAAAATGATTTCAGTCAGGGCCGACCTACTACTTGTTTGCTCAGTCACTGAACAAACATTTACTGAGCTGTCCTTTCCAGGCACTAATCTAGGTATTGGGGATAAAAATGAGTAAGACACAACCTCTACACTCCCAAGATCTCTTAGTGGAGTGGAGTGGCACACAAATGAAGTTACAATACAATGTAACAAGCACTCTAAAGGGATACTTGCCCAGGCAAAATATACTTAACTGGTGGGTGAGTGGCAATGATAGAGTCAAATACAAATAACTTTCATGCACTGTTTGAACTTGATGTACTCCTCATGCACATGTTTCCTGAAGACCTTGTCCACAAACCCCATATACTAGCAGATATATATGATAAATAGAAAATAATACCTAGTTGAAACTATACCCTGGACTGCTGAGTGTGAAGTCCCTAGGTAAGTGACTTCTACCAGTAGCCTCAAACAGAAAAATTCAAATTCATGGATTTGTTAATTTAGGATCATTGAAGACCTTACCAAAAGTAGTCTGGAGCTTAATAATTAGCCAATAAATATCCTTTATTGGTTGAGGTTGAGTCTTTTTTTTTAATTATTATTTATTTATGATAGTCACACAGAGAGAGAGAGGCAGAGACATAGGCAGAGGGAGAAGCAGGCTCCATGCACCAGGAGCCCGACGTGGGATTCGATCCCAGGTCTCCAGGATCGCGCCCTGGGCCAAAGGCAGGCACTAAACCGCTGCGCCACCCAGGGATCCCCGAGATTGAGTCTTTTAAAAAACATTCTATACTATTTAAAATAAATAGGTACCACCTATTCTAGTGTCTATCTAGACTTAAGGATCACAGTGGAAAAGGCTGAGTGCTACCACTTTGAGAAGTTGACTTTATTATAACAATTGTCCACGGTTGTTAAGAGCAATTCTGGCCCAACATAGATGTGTAAATATGATGATAATCACAACAGCAGCAAGAGTTCCCATTTGAGTACTTATGATACTTATGTCCAGCATTACATATATCTGCTCATAAATATCCCTGCACCTTCTTAACAGAAGATACTATTCCCACTCCAGAAAGGCAAAATGGCTTTCCCAGTTAGGGAACAAGCCAGGGGCAGAGCCAGGAACTGATCGAGAGGCCTTTTCATTCCAAAGTCTATGCCCATACATTTCCATGACTTACAATTTCTTCTGAAAGGTTTATGTGCCACAGCTTGTTGAGTGCCTGACTCAACAACATGGATCCCAATTTACTTAGTGTAAAGATCCGATCACAAGGAAATCTACTTTGTCTGATGGTGCTAAGGTACTTATGTATCTGGCAAAGATCAGGATGCTTCAAAACTCTCAATCACTGAAACTGAAGACACGTAATGACATTTCAAAATTAAAGACAGCTGTTTTCTTAGATTTTTTTTTTAAGATTTATTTATTTATTCATGATAGACACACACACACAGAGAGAGAGAGAGACAGAGACAGAGACACAGGCAGAGGGAGAAGCAGGCTCCACGCCGGGAGCCCGACATGGGATTCAATCCCGGGACTTCAGGAATGCGCCCTGGGCCAAAGGCAGGCGCCAAACCGCCAAGCCACCCAGGGATCCCCTGTTTTCTTAGATCTTAAACTGAGTCATCTGTGTGTATGTGCATATGTGTACACGCATACACAATGCTATGAATACTTAAATTCAAAAGACTCAACACTCATTGTTATTACCACCACTCCTCATATTATTAACTTAAACATTCACTGAAAGTCTAATAAATGCAAAGCACTGTTCTAGGCACTTGGCATATAACAGTAAACAAAAAGATAACAATAATCTCTGCCCTTGTGGAATTTATATTTTGGTGGAAGAGATAGATATTACATGAGACAAATATATAAAATATAAGGTATGTTAAACAGTGAAAAATGCTAATGGAAACAAAAATCAAATAAGGAAGGGGGAGATAAACTGCCGGAGCCATACTAAAATTTAGCTAGGGTGGCCAGAGTAGAATAAAGGAAAAGGAAGGGAGAGAACTATCCATTTGACCATCTGACAGGTAAACAGTGCAACAGCAGTGAGGCAAGAGTGTACTTGTGTTCAAGGAACGGCAAAAGGCCAGTGTGACAGGAGCAGACGAGCAAGACACTAAGCAGGAGATGATGTCTAGGTGATAATGGAGGTTGATAAGTAGTTGAATCTTGATTTCCTGATGGGTTACACACGGTGTGTGACAGAAAGAAGAGTCAAGGATATCACTATGGTTTTCAGCCTAAGCAACGGCAGAAAAGAATAGTCATCCATAGAGATCAGGAAGCTAGCCAGCTGGTCAGGAGGCAATGAATGTCGGCTTAGTTTTGGACATGTAAAGTTTGAGATGCCTGTGGGGAGACGTCAAATGGGCAGTTATGTAGAATTCAATGAGGAAGTCAGTGCTAAAGATATAAATTTGGAACTTATCAGCATACAGAGGTACCAAAAGCCACGATAATGGATGAAATCCCCAAAGGAATGCGTACACATGAAATGAGGACTAAGGATGAAGCCAATGTCACATCCATATCAACATTTAGAAGTTGGGCTGATGAGAAGGATCTAGCAAGAGGGAATGAAAGAAAACAGAGG